GACCAGTGCCATATCAGTCTCACTCATGCTGAATCTGCCACCCTGAGATCTGTTTTGATGCTTTGATAACTTTCCCAGCCGTGCTCCTTCAAACCACATTCACACTCACTGTGCTGCAGGGAGAGTAACAGACTCCACAATATGACTCTCTTATCAGTCTTTACACTGATGTAACTGATATTTCATAGTGCCATACAGCCCTGATACAGATACGCTCTGACTGTAAGAAAAGATAACAGCAAATGGTAAAAATCATTGTGTCTACAGTCAAAGTCACTCCAGAGGCCATTGGTCATTTCATTGGGATTGTTGTAGTCTCTTTTTTAGAAGTGATGTGTTCTGTTACTTTTACATATTTGACAATGGGTTGACACCATTTAGATTTTACTGTAGTTTATAATTGCTTGGGCTCAAAAAAGTTTCCTTGTGCAAATGATGATGATGTCCTTCTTGTACAAAGTGCATAACCCAAATAACAGCTCAGTCCTCAGAGGAGTATTGGCACACATTGCTTATAGCTGTTTTGCATATGACATCACAAATCAGCGCACTTTCCAGATGGAGGGCAGGTAAATGGAGGCAGGTTCTGAGGTAACAACCACCATCACTACAGGAAAGCCTATAGTTTGTGCTGTCTGTGGCCATTCCAATCAGTGTTTGTTACATTAAAACAGTAAAAAACCCCTTCGCAATTCCTTGCTTATACTGGTTTTGTTGTCCAGGGTTTGGATCACGTAAAGATTATGTTTTTTAAAATGCAACATTGATTAATTTTGTGATTTGCAAAGAGAAGTACCAACCATTTTGTGTTTGCTTTTCATAGATAAAATACAATTTGCTTACTGCAGGAACCAAAATACCTGAGCAGCAATTCTGCATGTAATTTCAGTGTTTATTTATAGTAACTGTACTGTAACTGTTTTGTTTCGATATTTGGGAATGAGTCAACAAATCCCATGCTACATTAGCGTGTCTGCTAATAGCTTAGCTAGCTAGCAAGCTAATCATGGGCAGGCAACATGACCTTGAGACAGCAAACTACCAAACAGCGCTTCTAAACGTAAACTAGAAAACATTACCTGGTAGCTCATTAGCTCATTAAAAAAGTCCTAATATTGCACCTCCTCTTCATTTTCCCCTCTGGCTCACCCATCGGCCCTGGAGGCCATCACATAAGGGTTCTTTGCAAAACGTCAAGGCCACACCCCTTTTTTAGGCAAAGAAAACTGAAGATCAGATGTCAATACAATTTGACATATGTTTGAATCCTAATTTTGACACAAGTGATTGCATTTATTTCTTGTTAAACAAACATTTGTTTTATAGACATGTCTAATAACGCTACCTTGACTGAATCTGACCGTTCTCAATACCTTCAGAAATTCAGGGTCATTGCTGTTGAGTCTTGTCAGTTTTCCCCTGCCCAATAGGATCAATGATCCAACACAGCAGCTGGATATTGCTTATCTGGACATTTTTATATATTTGATGGAATCATCAGACATTCAGTTATGTGTTGTCTGTTATATGCAACCTGTTAACAGCCAACTGTTTGCATGGTGTTGGAGTCACAGCTTCAAAGCCACAGACACCTTTTGTTTTTAGTCGAGCATGAGGGACGACCTATAAGCCCTGGTCAGAGCACTAGGTGACATATGGTGATATAAGGTCAGGTCAGATATGTGCTCTGGTGTCTAACTGAGCATGTAGGGCTCTATATGTGAGAACAAGAACCTTAGAATGATTCCTGAACTTGATGGAAAGCCAATTTAAAGAAGATAAGATGGGTGTGATGTGAGTCGTCCTGCTGGACCTGGTCAACAGCCTTGCAGCAGCAATCTAGACCACTGGTAGATGTCCATGGATGACTTGCTGAGGGAGGTGAAAAGGTAATTGCAGTAGTTTATCTGGGACAATATAAAATCATGAAGGATCATCTTTAGCTCAGGTTGTGATAAAACAGACCTGAGTCTGGCAATGTTTTTTAAATGGAAGACACATGTACGGGTTAACAGTTTGATATGCTGATAAAATATAACACAGATTTCTAAGATTACACTGTATAGCTAAGTTAAGGGACACAATACACTGAGCAGTGTCAGAAGCTATGCCATCTGAAGCAATTATTAGGACCTCAGTCTTATTTGTGTTGAGCTGTTGTCAGCCATCCAGTCAGACGATTGTGCAAATCTCATCAGGCTCAAAAGAGACATTGGCTGCTTCTGGATATCATCAGTGCACCAGTGCTATAAGGGATGCCTTTAACTTTGTTAATAATATGACTTAAGGGAAGCATATAGGCTACAACGCAATTAATAGAGGACCCAAGACAGAACCCTGTGGCACACCACAAGGAATAGCAGCAGTTTAGACATACAGGGAACAGGTGACACGGAAAAACTCCTATCAGAGGGAAAGGAGGAGAACCAGTCCAGGTCGCTTCCCAAGATAGCCCTGGAAAAGAATTTCAGTAAGGATGCTGTACTAAAAGCTGCGCTCAAGAGATCAAGATCAAGTAGCACCAAATAAGAGTGTTCATCCACATCAGAAGTGGATCAATGACCCAGCATAGTGGCTGGATATTGCTTATTAAGACATCTAAAGATATTTGATTGAATCACCAGGTATCACTAGGCTAAGTGTTGTCTGTAAATAATCAACCTGTTAATAGCCAACTGTTTGATCTATGCTAGGCTGAGAATTGGTTGTCTCCTTATGGGACATAGTGTGGAGCTTTGGCCTGATAGTGGCTGCCTTGTTATTATTGTATGATGACATGTCGGGGTGCATTGTGGATACTATTTCAGGAAACTGACAGTCATTTTCATATGCAGTGGATACTATTAGGCATTAGTTTGCCAGCTGCACATTAATAGGAGAATGTGAGAAGTGCAGGGATAGCTACAGCACTACATATATTGACAGAGTATGACCGAAAACTGCCTTGACCACCTGACACTCCATTTATGATCAAAGCTGCACATTAAATATCTGCAGTAGAGAATACTTGAGAGGGTGAAGACCTGCAGCTTTGATATGTGCCATGTTCCAACGATGATCTCTTTTTAAAGGGATTTTTGAATTTACAGAGATTGATTAAGGATCAGGATTTACAGTATGAGGATTATAGAAGGCATTAGAGCACACAGTATTTCTATTTCAGTTTTAACTTTCAGGCAGCAATGGCATTGAATTGAGGTGACACTGACAGGCTGTAAGGCATTCATAATTAAGGCCCCTCATTATACTAGATTTCTTGTGACACTGGTTTAGCCTATATGTCAACGTATTTAAATGTGCAATATCTATGTAATCAGACTTTGCCGATATAAGTGAACTTTTGTTTAAAAATTTATACTATATATTTCCTCGTTGCTTTTTTGGTATGGCAAATCCAGGAAGCAAATAAAGCTATAAGTATTTGAATTTTAACAGCCACTGAAAACTTCACATTAAAAATGTATTGATTTGTTTCTGAATTTATTTGCTCTAAATTCACCTCTTTGAAATTAAAATCTGATTTAGATTTTTTTTTTTTTTTTTTTTTAAATCAGGTTAAAACCAGATCCAGAAATAGAAGTCCATTTTTATTTTTATTTTGGATTTTTTTATTCTGAAACTTAAAGGAGCTATATGTAAGAAATCTAAAGCAAATAGTCATAAAATCATCCTAATATGTCACAGAGACTAAGGAATAATGTTCATATAACATACTGATCTCACCGACAACAATAGTACAGCCAGAATATTCGCATTTAAAAAATTTTTTTACAGTCCACAAATCATGTTTATGTTTTGAATTTGTGTTTTGGCCTGTTGCGCCACCCACCGCCGTCTACCAGTCACGCATTCAGTAGAGTCTCAGTATCAGTTACAGTTACGACTGAGCTACAGCAGCACGGCAAGCAGCATTAGCAGTGTCCCAGTACATAGCATTAGCAGTCTCCTCAGCTGTATCCCGGCAGCAGCGTTAGCAGCAGAGAAGCCGGACTTGCTTGAACGGTCCGCTGGAAAACCGAAGATCAAGGACGCGGCAACACGGCCCTGCCACGGCAGCCACCCGTGGGCAAACAAATCAGTCTCCAGCGTGCCGCTGTCCAGCAACCTCAAATCTGTAGGGGAGGGGGGGCGGACACGACTCGCGGCAGTATTTTGAATTTGAGTGCAGTAACCCTTCTGGCCACATTCTTACATACAGCGCCTTTAAATTTGATTGGTTCTGAATTTGTGAACAGTGAAAAAAAAAATTCAATTTGAAATTGCAAATCAGGTAATTTTATATTTTAATTTAAAAGAGGTAGATTTGGAACAGATATATTTAGATACATGGTTTCAAAATAAAATATTTAAATGCTATGAATTGTGTGGTGTTCAATATTAAGTTTTCAATGCGTGTCAAAATTCAAATACTTATCTCTCTTATTTGCTTCCATACAGCACAGCGAATTGAACAAAACAAACTGTGTGCATGGCCTGTAGATGGTCAGACTGACCAAGAACATAAACAACTAAAGAATCAATCTGTCCAGGGATCAGCTACAAACACTATCTCAATAAGATAAAATTTAGTTTGTAGACAACTACACACTTCAAGTAATGAAAAATTCAGCTATGTTTGCTTTCACTTGGAGCTGCCAAGGAGCAAAGTGCCCTAGTACATTTTTTAAGGAAAACATCTTACAGGATTCACCCATAAAGTAATTCTGTGTGGGTATGTACTGTATGATCTCACATCATCCTCTCATTCTGTATTCTGCTGACTCAGAGCTAATGCAGCTGCAAGGAATTAATACTCACTTCTCCATCACTCCCACTGGGACATGCTGCCTCAACATCTGCAGCACACAAACACACACATTTGCATGTCTGCAGGCTAACTAGTCTGTTCCACTGTACTCTGAATTTAAATTTTGGACAATTAGCATTTTTTGAATCTGCTTTTCCGTCTTTACTCACATCTAACATGAATGCAATAAGTAAGATGTATAAAGTGTCACCAATACACACATTAACCTCTTTTATTGCTATCATTCATATTCATACACCAAATGATCATGCACAGTGTTACTATTTATTTACAACAGGTTAAGCAAATCAATGCCTATATCAGCATGGTACTACAGTATATAAATACATTTCACATGAAGATGTCCCAGGAACTGTGAGGTTGGTAGCCAACATCACCTTGAGGCATTATTAGACATGTCCCACAACAGGAAAGAAAGGGCACTCCAACGGTAGCCATGTTCCATTTTTCTGTTGTTGCTCCACAAATGCTCTGGTAATGTTGCCCAAAATGTCATACCTTTGTTTCTACAATGTTTTATCACCATCCTTGGTTTTCTGTAACCATCCAAAATGCTGTTCGTTCAGAGCAAACCAGCGCTGATAATGTAGTTGCGACCGTGGAGCCATCGGACAATTGATACCCTTAAGCTTTGTGTATGGACCAACTTCATCACCAAGTGAAAAAAAAAAAAACGTTCTCTGTGGTTGCTCTTGTGGTTCTTTGGCTCCATATTGGCATTCATTTCTTGTACTGTTCACTGAGAAGATGACTATCAAAACTACCACCGTGGTGCAATATTGTATAAAAGCTGACAGTCTGTTTAATCATATTAACCTTTTTCAATTGGCTGGTGCTCACCAACTTCTGCTGAGCAGACACAGCTCAAAGGCAAATGAACACTGTCACTGATCACTCATCCTTTCAAATAACTGAAAATGAGAACAGAAGTTCAAACATCCTGCACTTTTGGACTCAGATGAGACCCAAATTCAAAGCTGCATCATTAGCAATCACAGATCTAATCCTTTCAACAGCCTCAGTTGAGCATTTTATGATGATTCTCCAAAAAACAAATCAAGCAAAGCAGAGGAAAGTAAAGTTGCACTTGCTAACCATGCAGAAAAAACGGAAACAAAAGTAAATCCTACTTTTCTATTATCATCAGGCAAGGAGAGCAATCAAAACATGTCAGTTGATGACATATTCAAAAATAGATTAAAACATGAGAAAGAATGTAGATAAAATAGGAACATAAACAGATTAAAAGGCAATGAAATATAAATAGATACAAATGTAGCTAATGTTTAATACACATCAAATGGTAGTTCTTAAAAATGAGATGGAATGAGTGAGCATATGTCACAGTAATATTGAATACAGCAATAAATAAACATGCATCCCTGTATTTAAACTGAATCATGTTTTCTGTCTGAAATGTAAAGTGTTATGTTCATCTGCTCATTGACTGCATGCTATTTCAGAATGATCCTATCAATAACAAACATGATATTTGAAAATGCACTTAAATTCTCCTAGTTGAAGAACTAAAGGGAAAGAAAAAGGAAATAAAATCGGAATCTTTGGCTCTTTGGTTCACATCACTGGTAGCAAATGTACCATATCACCTGAACTGAAATACTCAATAGCCACTCAGCGAGAGATGACAACAGCCTAAAAACTGAGGAGAGAAGTGAAACCTCAAGTGTAGCATATCCAGGCCTTTTTCCATTTGGATAATGCACAGATGATGACATCCCGTTGAAATATTTTGGCCATTTCATTCATATTCAAATCACTCTACAGTGTCTAACACATCTAGGTCTGACTGCTGTGTTATGTTTTACAAAGACAGAGAAACACTACCAGCAGCAAATAAAGAGTGCTGTGTATATCACTATTATGTGTCTGTCTTGGTGTTGTTGCCCTGTATGTCACAATGTTGCATTACACATGTCTAGTTAATATAAAACACAAAGTCCACATTAAATAAGTAAATGAAACATACTAAAATACAAACTCATGTGAATAAATAAAGTGACATTTACAAATCAACCAATAAATAGTAAAATAATGTTATTTATTATTAAAACACATCCCATTACTATGTTATTTTTATACCTATAATGAAAAAGAAAAAAAGATTAAAGGGGACCTATTAAGCCCATTTTCAAGTTCATACTTGTATTTGGGGTTTCTAATAGAACATATTGACATGCTTTATAAAAAAAAAACAAAACAAAAAAAAAACCACTTCATTTTCCTTACACTGCCTGTGCTGGAACACCTGCATTCACCCTCTTTCTGTTACACCTGTCTCTTTAAGCCGCTCTCCTGAAAAAGCCCATTCTGCTCTGATTTGTCAGCATTTTCAGGTTTCGTATATTTGCATCTCTGTACTGTCATAGCAGCCAGGGAAGTGACTGTAATGGAGAATAGTTGCACTTTCTGCCACAAAAATCACCAATAAAAGATTCTTAAGATAACCGGACATGTTCCAACAGAAATTTGATCTGAAATTGAGGAGAAATTAATAACATCAGCAGCAAAGATTACATGTTTCCCTGGTGTTAGCACATAGCTATATGTACACTATCGGTGTACTTTCACCTGGGGAATGAAAATTCTCCAATTAAAGCTTCTAAACCCAATCAGACATGTTACAACAGGAATACAGTCCGATATCTGAGAGAAATATACTGTACAACATCGATAATCAAGTTTACATGTTTTCCTGCTGTTAGCATGGAGCTACATATAGCAGTGTACTTGCAGTAATGGAGAATAGCGGCACCCTGAACTGTGAAAAATCACCAATAAAAGCGTCTATGCCAAAATCCTCACAATCTGACAATGTTCTAGCAGGAATATGATCTGAAATCAGAGAGAAATTACCAACACTGGCAACCAAGATTACATATTTTGCTGACATTAGCATGTAGCTACATGTAGCAGTGAAGGCTACATAATGTGAGCAGTTGCAGCGGCATGCCTGGAGCAGATGACCATATAAAGAAATCGGTGACACTTTGGTGTCAAACTGTTGCCAGAGTATTGAAAAACTGCTGGAAGTGGAGTGTTCAGAAAGGTATGCAACCTGAGGATTTTGCTCAGAGGGATTACTTTTACCTACGTTTACCTCAAAATTTAAAACTTTAACTACATTTAATATGAATTTCTGACACTAACTCTATATATAAGACACAAAATATGTTAAAGCATAAAAGGCCCCCTTTAAATAAAATAATATTTTAGAAATAATTTCAAATCTTATCTATATTTCACTCTATTTATTCATATCATTATTAATTCCATGGTGTGATATTTATGCTGTATAATTTATTGGTCATCATGTTTCAGTTTCATTTCCTTCCTCGTGAATCTGCAGAACAGATTTGTGAGATGACAAGTGCCATAATACTGTCCATGGTGGCCAGATTTCCAAAATACAACTGAAGGGATCAAAGGCCACTACATTTATAGTGTCAATGAAAAAAATAAATGCAGGCAAAGAGAGTCAGCACTGCTCAGTGAATTAAAAATAACTCACAGAAGGACACAGAAGACAGAGAGGTTTCAACAGCGAACGGAAGCGATCGTCCTTGGGAGACTGGTTTATATTTTTTAACACACTCTCCTCGTTGAGTTATTTGCTCCCTCGTCTCTCATCTCCTATCCATTATTTTTGCTATTTCCCTCTAAATGTTGTACCTGTAGGCAGAAATGGAAGATGAAGTTGTAAAGTTCAATAATCAATCCATCACAACAGGGAATGAAAGTGGAGCGGGCTTTTGCTCTCCCTCAGCAATGCCAGCATATTATGCCATAAAGCCTTAAATTACAGCTCCATCTTCTGTGCGTCCAACAGTAACAACCTGCACAGTGATAGACCTAAAATGAATATACTACGGCGAAAAAGATGCAAACTCGCGAAGTCTTTCTTTCTAAGCAATGTTCTTTTCATCTCAGTTTGTATGAGCATTGATTAAATCTCGCCCAGTTTTAAGAAGACCGCTGTATAAAACTTTGTCAGTTTAAGTATACAATATTTAAAAATGGAGCTGTAATTATAAGCATTACTTTTCCTCGAAGACAACCCTATATAAGTATGCTACTTCGCTCATGAATCCAAATGCAGAAATTTTACACACTCATCTTGAAACAAACCTAAATAACACTTACTGTACATACATACATACAGTAAAATACACTTCTTGACTACATACACTCTCTGTCTCACACTCTCTGGGACACGTGCTGCGCTCAAGCCGACGCTAAAAGTACAGATAATATGTCCAGTAGAGCAGATTAACCATGACAAAAGAGAGGGGGAAAGTGACTCTGGAGTAGTTGTCTATGTGGTGAGGGTTCTCCACGTGACAGCAATTTATGGAGCGAAGCACTTTGCGGACGGTGGCCAGAGCAGTGAGGCACCAGTTGGTAGGTTCCGGGGGTGATGCCTCAGGCTTAGGCTCACTGCCCGAGGGGCTGGACGGGCTGACAGTGAGTTCTAGGGAGGCAGGGGCCGGCGTGGGAGTCGCGGCAGCCTCCTTGCGTCTCTTGGCCCTGTTGTGATTGGCGATGGTGGTGATGATGCCGTTCATTTCGTCGTCAAGGTCGTGCAAGTGGTGGGAATACTGCAAGAGAGTGAGAACCAAAGAACAGATGAGTTTTCAATCGGGGGAAAAAAAATTGTACATCTAAATTTGAGAACTCGTAGCACTTGTTCAACTCACCCCTGAGTGCTCATGATGACATGATGATGATGATAATGATGATAATGATGGTGATGACGACGGTGACAATGACCACCATTATGAAGACAATGACTGGGACCACAACAACATCAATGACAATTAAAAAATATCAAAGGATATCCAGGAGGGTCTCACCATGAGCATGTGTGAGTCGGTGTGAGTGAGGGTGCAGAAGTGGGCCACGGCGTACTCAATGAGCGCTCCAAAGATAAAACTGAAGCAAATCCCTAAGTAAACATCAATGGCTTTAATGAAGCAGTTGGCGTTGGGCAGCGATGTCCGGGCGCCCATCATCAGAGTGGTCATAGTCAGTACTGTGGTAACTCCTGGCACAAAAAACACAAGGAGACACTGGTGAAATATGGATTAGTCCATCACTCCCACAAAAGACCATTAAAGGATATCTTTGGTGTTAACCTATTAAAAATTATGAAGTCCATCACTGTGTTTTTTCAAAAACTGTAAAACTTCTTAAACCTATCTCCTCCCACAATTTTTGCTCAATTGACACCAAACTTGCTACAGAGCATCTTCAGACTGTCCTACAAAAACTACGTTTCTCAGATTTTTGATTTATCAAAAATTGAGCCTACAGTGCATCAAAATGTTTGACTGTAAACGGTACTGTAAACATATACATGCAAATTCTTGCCAAATAAATCTTTAATGTTCATGAAAAAAATGACAAAATTCTAGAGTCATGGTAGATGATGGGTGGCAAATTTCAGAATTTTATCTCACAAACGAAAAAATGAAAAAATGAATTTTGCTCTAATGTGAACAATTGGAGTCAATGTGAAAATGGCAATTTTAAACATCAGTTTTTCACTTATGGAGCAAATCAATCATTGTTACAAACAAATTAGCAACATCTCCATGCTGTCTAGATGCAATATGTGTATTTTCAGATTTTTGTTTAGATAACTGAATTTTTTACAGTGGTTTGACATCTGCTTTTCCATGCATGGACGGCTGCTAAACCTGCACGTCTGGCTTAGTCAATTTGTGAAGCTACACATGAAGTGTCACTGACTAATTAGCTCAGTGAGATAGAAATTGATTCTTAGTCTCAGTGGTTGTGAGTTCAAGCCTCAGCTGATGCAAATGGAAGATTGCATTGCTAAATTCCTAAATGTCTTCCAATTCTTCTGCTTGTTGCTCAGAATTGCCTAAAAATGCCCGGACCCGACCCATCGCTGTGCAGCAGCTATAATTAACATGAAATTCCTTGAACACTGAGTTCACCTTTTTGCAGATAAGGCAGATCACTTAATCTCTCCCTTGAGGTCTGACAAGTCAGTCCTTTTTTCCTAAAGCCTTTTCTCCTAACTTTAGCTAACAACACTAGCACAGATTACAGAACGTAATTCCCAGGAAACCCAGGAGGTGCCAGTAATTGTCATGCAACCAGCAGTTTTCTACAAACTGTCATCCCTAACCTGACAGTCCACCACAGATGATCTAAATATAATGCATGCATTTCATATCACATACAGCAGGCTGCAAAAAATGTTTCTGAAGGCCACAACTGGCTGACAGAAATATCCATAGGAAGAATCATTCAAGCCTTGACATGTAACCACAGATACCCAGCACTCCACTGAATAACATATCTTGTTGTTTTGTTTGTTTTGGGAACTTTGTGTTCTCAAAGGCCCCTGCAGTAGTGGTGGATTTAATTCAATGCAACATCTATGTTTGGATGTTCCCACTCGATAGCACAGTGTCACACATGCTCTCTTCAACCCTCAGCCCTCTAAAATCAAACCCGAACCAACATTTGTGTTCACCCATAAGAGAGTAGAAGTCTCTTACATTTGTTTGGTACTAAACACACTACTGATAACTGGTGAGGAAGAGAAATATAGTGAAATATTTATCTCTCAACAACAGTACATAGCACCTACAGTGACACACAATACCTAGATAAGATCTGGTGCGATATGAAAACAGTATGACATTTGCTTTTCACATTTGATTATAGAAAAGGATGCTTAGTCTTATACCTATACAAATACGTGCTGGAACAGAGGACAGGGAAATCCAGAAGGAAACCCATGAGAGGACAACAAGCAGGCTCGAGGGGACATAAGTCTCAAGGATGAAGTACAGAATGCTCCTCTTCAGCTCAAAGTGGAAGACCAGCTTCGGGTAATTGCCTTTGACAAGAGGGACAAAAGTCTGTCAGTGTACTTGATAACACAAAATGTGTTCTGAATCAGAAATCCTACCCATAAGGGCTCTTCTTTAAAATAATATTTAATGAGTGATGAAACATTAGTATAGCCTTGGGAATAACATTAAGCAATGGTTTTGAAGGGCATTGTTACCAGTTTCATAAACGGCCTCTGAGACAGATGTGTAGTGGTCCTCTACTGTGTACTGAGCCAGCTGTAGAGTGTCTAAACCACTGACAGACTCATTTCCTCTGGTCCAGTAGAACATGACATCATTGACGTTGTAACCCCCTGCAGGAGAGAAAAGAGATGGAAATTACTTTCTGAGGAAGATTACAGCAAATACCTAAAGGGGACTTATTATGCTTTTCATTATTTTCTGTCATGTATAATGTTACAGTGTTGGATGTTCATATTAACTGTGGCCAATGTCTCAAATAATATGGTTAACGAACATAAAAGTAATTCCTGTGAGCAAAACCCTCTTTTCTACTTTCGAGATAAGCTGATGTCAGCTTGTAATGGAATCCTTTATATGGTCATCTGCTACAGCTATGCTACTGCAAGGGTTTACTTGACATAGCCTACACCGCTACATGTAGCTACATGCTAATGTCAGAAAAACCTGAAATCTTGGTTGCCAGTGTTATTCATTTCTCCCAGATTTTCGATCATATTCTTGCTGGGACAGGTCGTGTTGTGTTGATACACTTTTTCACAGTAGAAAGTGCTACTATACAAAGTCATTTCCCATTTGCAAGTACATTGCTACATGTAGCTATATGCTAACATCAGGCAAACCTGGAATCCTGTTTGCTGATGTTGTTAATTTCTCCCCTATTTAGGATCGTATCCCTGCTGGAACATGTCTGCATGTGTTTAAAAGCTTTTATTAGTGATTTTTCACATTAAAAAGCGCTGCTATTCTCCATTACAGTCATTCACCGGCTGCAATGACTGAAGTTCAGAGATGCTGAGATACGCAAGCCCTGAAAATGCTCACCAGTCAGAGCAGATTGGGTTTTATCGGAAGTGGGGCTTAAAGAGACAGGTGATAAAATGGAATGAATAAAATGAAGCTGCACTAATTACTTTACATTAACAATCAATTTAATAAATATGTGTAATATGAAAAATGTTGCTTATAGTAAAAAAACCCATAAAGAATTATCACCCAGTCCTTAAGTTTCACTCAGTTGTACAACTTGGTGCAAGCTTTGGTTCAGACTCACCACTCTCATTAACCTTATTCCTAGCTGCAGACAGCAAACAGTTGTTTTTAGCAAAAAAAAAAAGCTCTGATAAACCCTCTGTACACCACCTACTCAGCAGCTAATAGTGGTAAAACAAAGATAGCGACGAGCTGGTTAACACAGCGGAGCATTTAGCAGCTAAAGAACCAGATATTTCCTGCAGGAGTCGACTGGACCTGCTTAAAGGAGAGTGAATATCTGACTTACATTTGTCAAGTGGGCACAATCACCACTTCAGATGAATGCTAATGCTGTTCCATGTCTGCTGGATGTTTATATAGGCAGCTGTTTGCTTGTGCAGGTGAGAAATACGACAAGAACATTTCACATTACAAAACCTGCTATAATTCCAAATTATTGCGATGATGATGATGATGATGATATAGAAACAGCATTAATAAGTTTACTAAACCCCAAAGTAGCTATGGAGGGAACAGCTGGGAAGGTTAATTGCTCAAGCTATGCAAATGCCTGATCCTCTTATGGTTGAGTTGTTGGGGATTGCAGCCCATAGTGGATGGTAAATTCCCTCTAATACTAAATTTCAGCACAAGAGGAACATTTGGCAAGAACCAAAGGGAGCGAGAAAACCTTTGAAAATCTAGTTCAAGACGTAACGTTACCCCCGTGAAGCAGATGGGTAAGGTTTACACTGTGCAACTCTCAAGTCCTGCATCTGCTGTTAAACAACACATGACACTTTAAACACTTCAAAGACAATGTTAATGTTTCATGTGTGTTGTTACAGTCATAGAATAGAATACTCTCCCGTTCTTCACTCTAACACAGTTTGACACACAGAGATCCAACAGGATTTGCTAATGGAAATGCATTTGTGGTGTCCATGTTAACATCTTCAAAGAGTCCTGATGAAGAGCTTAACTCTTGCATCATACCATAACAGACTAATCATGCATATTGCACTGGGCCCTCGAGAGCCCTGATAACCCAAATAAATCTTGGAATGAGAAGGCATGCAAAATGAATATGGTCAAAGATGCCACGGCTAAGTGTGGCAGTGCTTTTGATAGCACAATATAGCTACATTGACATCAATTAATAAGAACTGGTATGGCTCTCAAGATGAAATTTATTAAGGACAAAAAGGTGTGATTAACAACCTTTGGTGTATTTTTCTCATTTATCTGCAGAGGGAGCAAGAGAATAAGGAAAGTAGGAGGAAGTGCTGTTGGCTGAAGCTGAAATACACCTCTATGATCTGTTGTACATGAGATGCTCAGTAATTTGCTGTTGCCCTCCCTACATAAACCCATATGGAGCCATGTATAATTGACCAAGGTTAGTTATAGTCTGGGAGCAGGCCCCTAACGAAGGGCACTGTTGACTCTGACGCTGAAAGGTCCTGTAAAATTCATTGTTTTCTCTCTCATTGTACTCCTCTTACTAGAAGAACTCATTATTTTCCTGACCTAAAGCCCTGACATTACAGTACAAATTAGAGACACAAATGGGTAGTGACATGCTGTGCAATAGCATGGAAAGAGTTACATGGGGGTACAATCAACCTTGCAGTGCCCTGTCGCCCCTTGAAAACAAGTATATCCACATTTTTTTTCCAGAGCTACCACCTAAAGTTAATAAAGCAAAGATCACAAAAGACTGTCATATCTTCTGACTCTTTCTGCTGTCATAACGCACTAAATATTTTACCGCAATCCCGATCTAAACACCCCGCACCCTCCCACAACGACGCTCTCTTTAAACCATCCTCCTGTGCAGAGGATCCACTTTTGGCACAGCATTAAAAGAAATAAATCCTTGAATATACATCTTCATAAAGGGACAGAGCAAGAGGGAGGTAGAGATTGAGGGAGAGGAGGAAAAGAGAGGGAGACAGAGAGAAAACGGCAGAGATGGAGCAGCAGGATGAGAGAGATTGTAAGAGAGGGTGGAAAAGAGAGACCGACAGAGAGAAAGATGCAGATATTTAGCTTGGAATTATTGAAGCAACGGAGGATGGATCCATCATCCTCTCAGTTACCTAACTTTAACCTCCAGATGTCTTTTTGTCTGCTAAGTGGGACTGGAGCTGCCGTTAAATGTTTTATTTGGCACTGAGGTCCTGGTGGGCTTCTGGCAGGGATCAGACTTAGCTTAGCGTGGCTGGCTGTCGTCTAATAGCATGGAGCAGAAGCGACTTGGAAAGCAAATATGGCAGAAGAGTGAGGGAAGATGGGGGGGAGGGGGGGACGTCTTTTTCTTCTTCTATCCCTTGCACTACCAAAAAATCCATCTTGCCACCTTATTTGAGCTTAATTGCAATTTTCTTTAATTATAAACATTATAAACATACTGCCACCGCATTTCCACTTGAAACCATTCAAAACATGTCAAAATTAGGCAAATCACTCCTCTTATTTCAGGAAAATGTCAACAAATTTCAGAATTTTTAACAAGTGAACACTACTGGCAGCTGTTTCCATACTTAAAATATCAACATGAGTTTAAAGGATTTGTAAATGTAGGTGGGTTTGTTGTCAGGGACAGGACCAACCTTAAAATATGTTGCCTAAGGGCTCAGGGGAAAATGTTCAACATTTTGGGAAATAACCTTTTTGTTGATGGGAATATCACCAGTGTTGGCACATCTGGCACCCTAGGCAAGCCTCCCCTTGTGTTTTTTACAAATAACTATAAGAGCTAATTACAAAGCTACAAAGCTACAATTCAAACATGTTAGCTAATTAGCAATAATAATATGTATCAAACAATAAAAGATTATGGCATGTACAAACCTTTGCCATTTACTCTCATGCCTATGTTGCCTATGGGAAGGTCATCCACTGAACATTGCTCTGAAATCTGTGTATTATGGAGCCCTGTGGAAGATTTTTTGAATAATCAAATTATGCAGTGTTTACACCCATGTTTGTTTGTTGGCAGTCTTCATTTCCCTTCCTGTTGTTATCCCATAACCATGTTTCATTGCATGTTACTTCCACCAACCGTGTGCGTGACACAAAAAGAATGGGGACTGACATATAAAAACAAGGCAGATGCTATTTGCACCCAGGTGTTTGTAACCAACAATGCTATTTGCGCCGGGGGTCGAATAACCAATGTGGCTATTTACACCCAGGTGTATATAGCATCATGGCAGAGGGAAGCACCCAGGTGTGTGTAGCCAACAATGCTATTTGCACCACTGACTATTTACACCCAGCAGTATATCCCTGGGTGTCCTGGCAGTGTCGAAACATTAACATGAATGGGTGAATTCAGCTATTCCACTACGGTTTATGTACACAGTGTGGATTCAGCAGCTTTATTCAACTCAACAACATAGTCAACTATGTCCAGAAACAATAAGCCAATAGTGACACACATGGGACTCAAACCCCAGTCTCCTGTTCAAAAGTCCTTTGCTTAACCTACTTACCCATTGTCCTCATTTATCATTTTAGACATAGACTGAGAGACTATCTGGGATTGGCTAGAACTAACCCTAACAATGACCTCTTTGGCCTAATCCTGACCACTCCAACCTCAATGCATCATTGTGATGAGTGCTAGCCAGTTGCAGCATGTTGTGGGATCCATAATAATGTGTTGTAAAGGTGGGTGTGAATAGCTTAAAGACACTCAAAAAATTCTCCATAGTGCTGCTAATCAGTCCCTCCGGGATTTTGCCATGATGCAATCGCAAATTTAGCCATTCCCTGTTAATTTTGCGCAACTTTGCAATTTTGTCCAGTCACTGCAACCTTCCCGTAAGTTTGACTATTTAAAATGGGTAAAATCTAATTTCATTTTAGAACTCATTCATTTTGTTGACCTGCTCAGCCCCTTCTTGCCCCTCTCTCTGCTTATCACAAGACTACTGCTGCACCTGGTACAGAGTCACACACACTGACAGGGATGACTGCTAGCATCACACAGCTAATATTACCCAACAGTTATTACTGGGTTTAATGACTGAGTTGAGCCAATTCGGTGTCAGTGTAAGCAGCCCCCCGCAGCTTACTCCGAGTGGAGCCCTGTCCTGCAGCACGGAGCAGGCAAATTTTAACATCTTTCATTTTGAGGACACTTATCATTTCAAACACACAACCAAATTTAACAGACCACTTTAGAACACTGGACACATATTACTGCACTGAGTAACTGTTGGAGCTTTTTAACTTTACAAACTATGAAGTGGTATAACCAATGTCAAGCTGTGAAGGGCACAACAGGCTGCCCCTCACCTGATGGTGAAGCTGCAAGGTGCAAGATGGTTTCTCTCTCATCTGATGCTAACACCACTGCAGTGTCTGCCTTATTTTTAATGTAGCTTAATTTTACTGTTGATCACTGTCTTTACAATCAGGTAGGTCTGTTTCAACCTCATGGACCTCGGTGTTGCCTTCTAGATCTTCCTGACTGGCTCTAATGTATAAAAGAGATCATTTTAGACCTGTAAAGATTTTTATTAATGTCTGTCTGTTTTATTTTATGTCAACATTGGCTCTGAAAATGCATCATGTCACAATGTGCATTTAATTCAACTGTATTTTTTAAAAAGCTTAAAAAAATCTTATGATAAAAAGAACACCTCAAAACATTGCAACATACATTGCAATTTTTTTTAGAAAATCTGCTGTGAAATCAGGCATTTCAGGCCTGACCAATGGTCAAAAATTCCGCAGGGAACCTTAAACTATGGCACCAGAGCCAGGAGGCCATTTGTTTAGCTTAGCAAAAAGACTAGAAGCAGGGCAAACTGCTAGCCTAGCTTTGTCTTAAGGCTAAGGTAATGGTTTCTTGCTTTGAGCTTATACTGACAGACATAAGAGAGGCATCTATCTTCTCATACATGTATAACTCTGGGCTAGAAAGTAACGAGGCATATTTTCCACGCAGTTCAACCATTTCTTTAAGGGATAGTTAACTTTCGTATGACTTACCCTCCAGCTTGATCTTCATTTTCTTGACAGTAATTTATGACAATAAAACATAACACAAGAGAATACTCCATCATGACCAGGATTGCCCCTGCAGTATCTGTCTGCTGTGTGACATAACCATGCAGTCTTACACACATGCGCGCAGGCACGTACACACACCAGCAGTTTAGAAGATGAGAGAAAGTGATCTGTTTGATCCTTCGGTTTGATCAGATTCATTTGACATCACGCCCACCCACCAAGTCACTGCCACAGCTTCAAGCTGCACAGTTCGGATTTTCTTTATTAAGTATGTAGTGTCCTTACAGCTCTCCAGTTGTAGTGTGCAGGTCTGCTTGTCCATGGGATACTTTGTCAGATCCATGTTGCAAGCCACGGTGGTGGTAATCCTACAAAAACAAAAAAGTAATAAATGTTATTTTTGCAGTTATTTTAGCACAGTGGCTGCAACATATACCAGGTCTATGGTTAAAAAATGTGCTGATGGATGGAATTGGAGTTGGCTGTCTTAGTTTTTGGTGGATATAAAATTATGCATGAATCGAGCCCTCTGTGGCACATGACTGAAGAACACTTGAAAAGGAGAATGAAGTCTTTGCTTTGCATTGATGTCATACTGTAAATCTGGGTCAGTATGTACGAAAGCCTCTCACAGTATGATTTTGGTAATAAAATTCTAAAAATTATGCTGTTTTTGGTCTTAGAATTAAATTAAGATAAGACATACTAAATTAATTCCACACAGGGGGAATTCACTTGTTACAGCAGCTGAGGAGCCCAAAGCAAAGGGGGAAAGGGATTTAATGATGAATAAAAATGAAACAGGTTTTTAAAAGAAATATGAAAACAACTATATACATTATGTACACCCTTTCCTTACAGACCATTTCAAACTTGTATTTCCTGTTGGAATGTTTTGCAGTGTTTGTGAACAGACTGGATCACAACGTTTATTTACAATAACTTGCAGGTGGAAAATTCTTGCTTCAAGTACATGGAATCAAACAGTGCCGAGCAGACCCTGCCTCAATGAGTTAGTTTTTATCCACCTACAAAGGCTAAANGTTTATATTTATATTAAGAACATTTTCACAGCTTTACCTTACTGTCAGACAGCCATTTCTGACAGGGCACTGAAGCTTTTATATCAAAGTAACCAAACACCACTGAGAAAAACAATCATTTAGCAGAAGTACATAAAACAAGCCTAGCAGAAACGTCAGGTGGGTCGGACTACAGTGTTTAACTATATGTCTTTAAACATTACAGTCATGGCTGAAAATGATAACAGAAATCAACGAGTTTGCCAATTTTACATACTCCCCAATTGTAATCAACTACCAGTTGTCTGCTCAGAAGTGATTGCTGTTGTTCATGCAAGGTCACAATGATTCAGTCCACAACATCAGCTGATAGGATGTAAACATGGACCTAAGCTGTTGTCTAGCAATGCATTTCCATGGAAATGGTCTTTATAGACCTAGCAATCTGTATACGTACCCTTTTTCATATACAGGATAACTGCACAATATCACAAACATCTAAAAATTTAGAATCCTTCTCCTCAGTTACAGAGCTCATAGTAAACTATTATCTCACCACAACACTGTGCTCTGACAGTGCAGGGTTACTTGTGGTTCCTAAAGTCTCCAAAAGTAGAACAGGAGCCATAGCCTTCAGCTATCAGGCTCCACTTTTATGGAAACATCTTCCAGTTTCGGTCTGGGATGCAGACGCCGCCTCCACATTTACGAGTTTACTTTAGACTTTCTTCTTTGATAAAGCTTATAGTTAGGGCTGGCTCAGGCTTGCCTTGGACCGGCCCCTAGTTAGGCTAATGTAGGCCTAGTCTGCTGGGGGGCTTCCTATGACACACTGAGCCTCTCTCCTTCTCTCTCTCCATTTGCAAACATTAATGTTTCATTAATAGATGTTACTAACTCCAGGTTGTGCTCCCTTGTCTCGCAGGTTCCTACAGATCCCAGTTGGGTTGTGGTTGTGCTGTTGCTGTGGTTCTGCCTGATGCCTACTACTACTGATATGATAATTAGTCATTCTTCTACCATTATTACACCCCCCACCCCCCTGTTGCTCTTCCTGAGATTTCTATCTTTTTTTTGTCCTTATCCACAGTGAGGGTCCCAGGACAGAGGGATGTCCTATGTTGAAAACCCCTCTTCGGCAAATTGTGCTCTATGATATTGTGCTTCATAAATAAAATTAAACTAAATAAGTATGTGTAGTATCTATATAATGTATGCAATAATGTATGCATACATTAATATTTTTATTTTTTTATACATAGACACTATTAAATACAATTTAATATTATGTTTATATAAATTATAAAATAAGTATGTATGATATATAAATATGATATGAGTAAATGATGTCATGTTGTAAATGGTGAGTGATATGAATTAGGTCTAAATGCCTTATTGATAAGACTTGGTCTCAGCTTATTAAAGAGAGGTCTCTTTAATCAGTTAGAAGTGAGGCAGAGGCATGGGCTACACACTTTACATATTCTAGTAATAGAAACAATTAAACATATATTTGATTCACATGTACCAGATAAGAATCATTAAAATGGTTGCTTTATTTAAGCTTTGATGAATAATATTACTAAATTGCATGTATTCATATTGTTAACTTAATTGTTGGGGAAGTACAGTGTGTTCTGTAAGCTTTCCTCTTGTCAATACTGAGTAATGAAAGAGTTTGATACAGTTAATGATGAGCAGTCTCAATCATGACAAGGTGTGCATTAAGTTTTGATGATTGATGTGATGTAGCTATGACACATAATCTCTGGAGGCTTGCTATTGATTCAGTGCTTGGGGGTCAGTATTTTAGACAGACATACCTTAAATCCATATTTCATAACACAGAGGAGTCACTGCTGTCAGCACTTGAGAATCACACTTTGCTAAGAAGTTGCAGAGCTTCAAAGTTTTACTAGAATGTTTTTACTCGGAAGTCTTTCGAACAATTCCTTAGAAATTTCTCACATAATCAAGATTTATAATCAGAGAGCTGCAGCACAACTGACTTAAAAATGGGAAAGTGGAGATGAACCCTCAGAAAATCCATCTCACTGACATCACTGATTTCTGGCTTTATGATATTTTCCATTCCAAATATGAACCAGACCTCCTGAACCATCAAAGTAGCATACAGTAATTCTAATTGAATCTGCCCTTTTAACTGCTCAACCTTTAACTCCGATCACCTCAGTGCTTTCTCATGTAATCCCCCTGGCGCAGCACTGAAACATTTACCACAGCTGTCCTATCCTTCAGCACCTCACATCTCTCACTTCACTCTGTCCCTTTTCACAGCACCAATTCCCCGGGGTGTCCATCCCTCTCCTGACTATCTTTTTTTGGCTTGTTTTACTCTCACTAGTCCTGCTCTCGGAATGTAAAGCCCTACCCTCCTCCACATCCCCTCTGTCTGGTTAAAGCCCAGAAACTGTGCACTTCTCTGTCTGGAGGCAAATGTCCATAACAACCAGGGCGGGCACACACATTCAGAACAACATAAATCAACAAATGGAGTCACACTGTACATAACAATGTCACACACTTGTTAAAAATAAAAGCGTAAATCAAAAATTGCAGACAGGCATGCTCACACACCAGAGAGCAATGCAGTGCCCTCTTGATGTTTACAGTGTGCAGAGACATGATTAACTGTGAGGCCAGACTGAACTGAGCCTGAATACCCAGCCCAATTTACTATAACATGACACCCACGTACATTCTTCTCCTCATGATAGTCACAAAGTTGCCATTAAAACAGTGAGAATGTCTCCCATGTGATGCTTTTTTTCTCTTTCATTGTGTAGCCAGACCATGTATAACCACTACTAAAGTGTAAAAAGAAGTTCAGGACCACTGAGATCAAGGCTGAGAAGCATTGAGTGAGGGAGGTCTAATCAGCACCACGGACAGCTCTTATACAATCCATAGACAAGCTGAGGTTAAAGCCTGCGACCAAATACAGTAGGATGTGTAAATCCCATCATCACAGGCTTTAAACAGCTCAACACATTCACTTGCTGGATCATCTTTAACCTCTCTATCTATAACCTGTCTGCTTGGCCCAATGTCTAATCGGAAAGCCAAGGTAATTCATGTTTCAGAAGCTTGCCAAGAGCTTGTCAAGCCCTTGCGCACAGAGCAATCAATGCTTGAAAGATGCTAACGGGACCTTACTGTTGCTTTGATAGCCCACAGCTCTTTGTATTGACAGATCACATGCTCTTGTATTCATAAAATCCAATACCCAAGTAATAGAATTGACATAACTCCCTGCTGCGCAATCACATTATCTCAAATTTAACCCACGCTTCCACCCCCAGGCCAATTTCTCCTCCATTCCCTGGCTTACTTTTCATTGTCTGTTGGAGCAGAAATAAACAAACAACCAATGAACAATTACGCTTGTTTGTTATCCCACCTCAGCGCGTAAAGGACGGTCCCATTGGGGAAGATGCGAATCAGCCTGTTCGCCACGGTGATGTCATGGAGGAAGGACTTCTTGGAGTCGACGATGAAGGTGTCAGGAACCCAGAGCAGTTCCACCAGGCGCCCGTCAAGACTCAAGCTCTTGTTGCCCTCAAACACCAAGCGCTCGTCCGTCCAGCGCTGGCGGAGGAATATGGTGGCGGTGTAGTCCTGCAGGATTCAGGCTCAAAGGTCACAACAGAGCTAACTGACAATTTAACAAGCATGTCAATAATATGCTGACAAGCAAGTGAGGTTTTTGCAAACCAGGCCTCTCCCATGTATCCGTATTTCATTAATCAGCCAGTGGCTTTTTTTTTGCATTGTTGGGTATTGATGGTGTCAGGTCCCTGAGCCCTTCTGTGCCTCAAGCAATAGTAATCCACAGCATTGCTTCACGTCAGCAAGTCTGTTCAGGTTTTTATGACACTGAACATATTTTGTGCATCCATTCTAAGAGTCCTGATGTTACATCGTGTGCAGCTTCGTAATCATTTTCTTCTGCTGCGCGGCAACAAGCTGTGAGGGAAAACATGTTCAGACCCACAAGAAATAATCAGCCCCAGTGGAATGCCATCATCTCGTCAAACTGAGGCTACCCATGATGTTGACAGGTGTATTTCTGTCAATCAACATGTCAGTGTCCTATTGCTATTGTGTGTCCTAATGTCCTGTGAGCTACCATGCTTTGTTGTAATCTATCCTTGTGGGTTGTTATTGAGATCAAAGCAACATTTGCATATCAGGTTTGGTTGAGCCTTACTCCTAAGTTGTGTGGAGGAGGCTCTAAGGATTCACTATTGCCTGTGTCAGTAGTTGATTATACAGTAAATAACAATTGGATTCCTTATCATTTAATCTACCAACTACTTTCTCCATTAACTGTTTGGTCTGTAAAATATTCAAATGTCACAATTTCTCAGAGCATTAGTTGACATCTTCAAAACTGGAAATGACTTCAATTAATAATCATTTATCTACTGAATAATCTATTAAATGACTGAACCTTTCAGCCCTACTTCATTATGATGCTTTTATTAACAATTCACCTTATTTACAAAAGTGTTGACCCTTGCCATATATGAAGTAAAAAGATTCAGTAACGTGATCTGACTTATGGAAAAGTTGACTAAAAGTTACTTTCAGTTGCAGCTTGTTGTTGCTCTTGATGGATTTTGGCTTGTATTATTTATGTGCTCATATTTACTGCCTGTTAATACTTAAACCCTCACAGATTTCATCGATTAGTTGGATTAGTGTTCTGTAATGAGCTTTGGTATTTGACACCTCCAGAATTCTAAAACAAGCATTGTGTAAATGGGTTTTTCAAGGCAAATACTGACTGCAACGATTCACATCAAAGCATTTTTAAAACAACATGGTTATTGTGAAAAGGTGTAATACATCTGTTTGGAACTTGAGAGGTAGATCAATGGAACTAAAACAAAAACACAATTTGGAGCTTTGGGTTAAAAAGGTTAAGTGAGGTAAACAGAGCATAAAGAGATGATGGTAAACATCATGATGGTGAACAGCTACACACACATTATTTGTGTGGTTCTGGGTCTGTTGCTGTGCATGAAAATCATTGTCTTACCATGTTGATCTCTGAGATGGTGTCAATGCTGGCAATGTCCAGGCTCATACCCACTGTTACAGGACCATCTAGAAACAAGAATGAAAAATTGCTGGATGTTTCATCTGTTGTATGTCTACACATTACATATTCCCCACCATTTGAATATATACCTGTGTGTGTAAGCGTTAATGCATGAATATCAATGGTTAGCATATTTGCACCACACTGTCAAGAAACAGGGGTCAAGGTTAGGTGCACACAGAAACACAGAATACACGGTATGTAGACTGATGCATGTAATGTGGAGCCAAAGTTAATAAGCATGAGTTCGACCCAGAGATGTTAAGCCCTACTCCATTAGCAGCGCCCACTGAGGCTGGCACAACAAGCTGACTGGCGTATGAGTCAGTCAAACTATGGCATGTGCAAATGAAATGCTGGAACTCTCGGTCAGCTACACCAGCAACAGAGGGAAAGTTGTGTAGAAGACAAGAATGCTGTAATGGTGTTGCTCCACCTGTGAAGAGGATGTAAATGGTAACACATTGAACATGCCTACACACATCCAATGGCATCACCAAGATGTGGTGATCACCCGAATGTTTGGGTGCTTTGAATGGTTAAATAACAGCAAAGGAAGGAACTGATTGAAACACTATTCCGAATGCACACAAGTATTTTGCTAAGTATGTTTGGTATTTTTTTTATTTCATAGCATATGCTTTTTAGTTTTATAGCCTGTTGTGACCTGTTGCCTTTTGGGAAGCATTTGTTCAGTGTTCGTACAGTGTAACACAGAGGTGTCCCTTATTTTTATGATGAAAACAGTTTACTGAAGTTGTCAGTAAACAAAATGTTACCTCAGTTCTCAGCAGGAGGATTATATCTGTCTTTGATACCAGCGCTACTATCAGTTCAAAATAAATGAAATGAAACAGATCCTCTGTGGCACTGAACCGTGACTCCTAAACCCTCATTTTTGTGTACTGTTACACCACTAATACATACAGATGGCTACTACAGTACATGTGACTGAGATATATGAGGTACCAGGGTATACTGAGGAGGCATAAGGATATAGGGTTGTATAATAAAGCACAGTGTTGTATAATGAAAGGTTCTTGAAGGACGGCATTTTTCAAAAACGCTTAAGACCCCACATTGCTGGCACATCAACAGCTGCAGTCGGTCGAGTGTGAACCTCCTTGAGGGAATTAGTTCTCCCTGATTCACCATCAAAGAGGGGTAACTTTGCTGCTGTCCTATGTTTCATCTCCCCAGTTCTCCCTACGCTCACTTATCAATCTTTATTTCTGTGAGAAAGTCTAATGAGCCTGTTGTTATATTGCAGATACTGTATATGTCTTTGTGTGTGTCTACTGTAGGTTTGTCAGTATGGGGGTATATTTGCATGTACGTGCATTTACCGTAAGCAAGTGTTTGTGTATTTCTTCACAGTTAATGCCTTCACACAGCATCAAACAATTACAAAAAACTTAAAATTAAGTCATTTGGTATATACTTTTACTGGAGCTTAGCTTTAAAAGGATAGGTCACCATTTTGGGAGATATGATCATTCAATTTCTGGTGGTTAGATAAGAAGTTAGATACAACTTTCATTTCTGCAAAAAAAGGGAAATAACAGCTTTGGTCATCTTTTAAAAGATTGTATTTTCATTTTTTTGTGACACTGGGCTACTGCAAAGGAATCAGCCTGTATGGGGCGCACACGCTACCAGGTAAACTGCAGGTCGCCCCAACAGATTGCATAGTTTAAACATACTAGTCCATTGCTCATTTGGTCATTACTGCAAAACCTCGGCTCAGTGAGTTTGTGACTTGTGAATTGGTGACTTGCCACAAGCCTGCTACAACAGTTGCAGTGGCAATGCTACACATAAACCATCCTGCTACATTGTTTTTAATGGGAATGTCTGTTCTACTCTCATTCTATTTCTATGTTGAAAACCAAACACTTCGGTCTGAATTTTTCCTTTGGACAGAGCCATACTGTTTCCACCGCTTCCAGTCTTTCTACTAAGCTACACCAACTGTCTGCTGTAGCTTTATAATCAGCCTACAAACATATAGAGTGGTGTTAATCTCCTCATCTAACTCTGGGCAGAAAAGTGAATAAGCGTATTACCCAAAAAGTCAAACTAATCCTTACAGTACTTCAGCGTTAGAAATAATGATAAAGTTGTGAGTAAGGGGGCGATCTGCTCCAGAATTGTCTGGTCCGACTGCACTGAGCAAACTTGCTGGCTGTGCCTGCAGCTGTCTGGCTGGAAGGTGACATTGACAAGCAGTAAAACCCTGCACCTTGTACCAAAAATATTTTAACTTGCACTATATGTGTGGCTAAAAATGCAGTAAAAACACAAAGCATAGCAGAGGAGTGCATGATGACAGCGCTACAAGTGTCACATATCTGGTGAAGCATTTCTGGGTTAGGGAATGAATAAAATCATTGGAAGTTCTCACAGTGCAATGCAAATACATGTGCGTGGGTGTGTGAATGCATGTGTTTGCAATGCTTTTGCCATCAGTGTGTACAAAACGTATGCTCCTAGGCGGGAGTGATTATGCTGAATGGCATTCGCCTTGGTAAAGTCCGAGGTGTTATTACAAATCATACAGCGAGTAAACAAACCATAATCACATTGTGACGGATTCCCAGAGCCTAGAACAATAACGGTGGCGAGGGATTTGCAGGGAATGACATAATATTGTTCCTGTGAGAGCGTACACTGAGATAGACTTTGCTTCTCTATTGGAACAAAATTAGACGCCTGCTGGAAATTGGAATCTAAATCACAGCACATATTAGCAGCTCGGATTCTGGTTAAGCCACTAACACATTATATTTTTAGATTTATATGGATATTTAGATTTAAGTATATCATGCATTCTTTTACTGGCCTCATATCAGTTTGTTTTTCTTTATTATCATTTCATTACATAAAACACAATCATGGGACGAACCAATTTCAAAGATAAATTTGACTTCATCTCATGTCATTATATACATATGCAGTAAATTTAAATGTCAGCGAATATTACTCAGAAGGGATAGGCAAGCACAAAATTGCAATATGAGTCCCTCTAGTTCTCTGTTGAACACACATTTCCCTCGAGTGTTCTGTCATTTCCATGGCTGCATGTGTCTGCAGTTTCCTTACTGTCAAAGAAAGGCCTGAGGTACTTGTTGTATCCTTTCATCAGCCTCTGAATGGTAGGAGGCAGGATCTCTCCTTCCTTCACTTCTGCGTTGAGCAACGAGCTCTCTAACAACCTTAGAACAAAGACAGGGAGAGAAAGAAAGAGGTAGGGAAACACAGAAATAAAAAAAAAAAATTATTTTTCATTTCTCCTCCCGTTGTGCATCGACCAGGCGGATTCCTCTTCACGAGTGTCTCACTATTCAGGGAGTCTGTAGGGTGTCGATTGAGTTCCAGAGCAAATCTTGGAAGCCATGCTGAGTGGGAGAAAAGACAGGAGATTAAAATGGCAACATGGATCTCTAAAACTATGGAAGAGGAATAAAAGAACAAAATAAAAGCCCTGTTTCTTTTAATTATTTGATTACCTTGAATTGACCCGGTTCAAAATATTTTAAACCACCCATCTCTCTGTTTTTCCATTCAGTTGTGTCTTTAAAATTTCCATTTGCTTTCATGAGATTTGTTTTCCTGTTGTTTCTGAATGCTATCCTTAAAGGCACATTGAAGTGTGGGAAGATGATTATATTGCTGGCAATTGTGGCGGGGGAAAAGAACACTCATTGCGTCTTCCCCAGTGGTATGTGTGTTTGTGCATAAATCAGGCTCTAAATACAGAACGCTGGCTCTGTAGAGAAAGCCCCAGGGCACGTGCCATGATGTAAGAGGGGCTGAGGCAAGACAGATCAGGCCATGTGCAGAGGCAGAAAACATTCATCTCCATATGCTGGCAGCATTTCAGAGCCCCCTCTGTCACTTGTATGCTGCTGTAGTCAAATGAGTGACAAGGAGAGCAAGAATATAGAAGCAAGTCGGGATGCTTTTCTTATCACATAGCATCATCAAATACCCACACATTCAGTCATTCATCGTTAGGGTGAACATGCCACATATGCCACGTGTTTAAAAGCATCACTATGTTATTGAAAATGAATGTTGGTGCATTAATTACTGTAAACAAGTTAATGGACTTGGATCTATGTGACTGGTAGTTTTAATCTCATGCCTGTGTCACTGTTTGTTCTATAATCTTCTTGTCACAAGGTGCTGGAAAGCAACGCCCTTTTGTTGTGAAGCATTTGCGTAGCTTTCCTGCTATCTGTGACCCTGTGGTACACAGTTTCTACTTGGTGATGACCTTGTTTGTATATGTTAATTATAGAAACATCTCAAGACAAATGTAATAATTTATTGATGATAAAATGCTGCATGTAACCCATTATAGTTTCCTGTAGGGAGACACATTCATTGCATGTTATAGAACAAAGCTACAGTCTAAAAAGTCCACAGCCATGCCAGCAGCTCTTTAAGGCTATACTTAGACACAGCAGTGCTTTGAGCTGAATGCTAATGTTAGCATGGCAACATGTTCACAATGACAATACTAACAGACTGATATTGACCAGGTACTGTATCCCATGTTCATCATCTTTGTTAAGCAGATGGTAATGTCATTAGTTTTGGAGGTCTTCATTCATAAACCAAAGTGATGGACCAAGCGATATTTAAGCCTTATGATGGCCGGAGAGGAACACAGATATCTGTTCCAAGTAAACGACAATCCATCCAGTAGTGTTTGAGACATTTTGTTCTAAACCAACAACATCAACCTGCTAGTACAGCCCGTTATCACTCCTAGGTTATATACCACTCTTTGGCATCTATATGAGAAGCACTGGGCCTTCAACTCACTCCAGTGTAAATCCATCCATGGGTATGTTTGACAATGAGAACAACTTACATAGTATAAAGAGCCAGAAACTCAGTCAGCGTATGGTGGGCAAATGTCTTGAATGGTTGAAACAAACATGGACTTTCATCCACGAAACTACTGTTCGTGTCCCATGTAAAACCAAAAATAAACATTGTTTTAACGTAATGGTACATAAGTTACATAGGTATGTAACTTACTTATTTAATCCAAAACATCATGTTTTTTGTAAACTTAATCAAGTAGTTTTGTTGCTTAAATCTAACCGCAACCCTATGACAACGCTAACCATGTGTTACAATGGAGACAGCTACACAGATGCTAAAGAATATCTTGTGCGTCCCAATAAGACTCCAAAGTGTTGGTATTTGACAACCTAGGAATGAGAAATGGTTGGCTGTGGTGCTAGATGAAAAGCCAAGAAACCACTCATTAAGATTCATTCTCTGACCTTGATTATCTGTGCCAAATTCAATGGAAATCCATTCAGTATTTGTCAAGACATTTCACAAAAAAACCCAAAAAATGTCAACATCATGGTGGTGCTCGAGGTAAAGTCAGGGGATCACCAAAGTCATTTATACTTCCTCTTGGGATTATGTTTGTTTGAACCAAAGATCACTCCAATCCATCCAGTAGTTATGGAGATATTTCAAGTTCTAATGCTAGCGTAGCCAGAAAGTGTGATTTGACCCATGTGTAGCCCTTTAACAAATATTACTTAGAATTGTTCACTGAATCTAAAAATGTTGCCTTGGGCCTTTTGTTTTCTAAAATAACCAGTCTATTTTAACCAACAGCTTATGGTTGGTTAAAAAAGAAAGAAACATAGAAAGGTACAATAGTGTAGATTCGATAAGTATTTTTTTCTTTACAAAATCACTTCACACATAGGGCTCTAGTTTCCCGGAGCAGCGCAGGGTGGCGCAGGGTGGCGAACCCCACGCAGAGCTAGTTTCCAGCAGCGCAACCCGAGGCTTGCTCAGTTTGGTAGTTTGGTAGACCGAGGTGCGCTGAGATGGGTGTGGCGGCGCAGCAGGGGGAGGTGTCGACAGATCCAGCTTGGCGCAGTGACAGTTTTGTGCCAAAAGGCTTCGCCGAAGGTGCGCTAAAAGCTCGCCAGCTGAAACCACGTCTACTGTCAGCGCAGGTGGAGCGCACATTAACACATTAACGATGCAATAAATACCCAAAAAAACACTATTCAATGCAACTATCTGCAATCAGCACATAAATGTATCTCTATATCGACTGTCCCGTCACATCTGATGTCAGATCAAAGGGGATTGGCACCGTTTGGCACGTTTGGCACGCGTAATGGAAACCCAACCTGATTTGATTAACACAGCTGCTCTCAGCCAACCACAAACAGCCACAGCATCAGATAGGGAGTATATATTCAGCATCTGTCATCTTAGAAAAGTCAAAAGAAAAGAAACAGAGTGAGACTGTGAGAGAGAAAGAGAGAGCGCGCGCGCACGAGAGAAACGCAACATTGATTTACAATTGTGGTGACCTCCTCCCAGGCTACCTTTGCATCATCAGCCCGTGGAGGTCTGCTCGCAGTTCCGTATATTCGGACACTGCGAGCTTGGACCTCCCGGACCAAACGCTGCTGCTCTCTTCTGCCATGGCGAATTGAGTAAACTCTCATTACTCCTTTGCGCTGTTCATTTAATGGCGAGGAGAGGGGCTCATTTGATTGGTGTGATGTGTTTAAAACCCACTCCACGCCTTCTCTCCTCCCTCTTTCCGACTTGCACCGGTAGGAGGGACGGAGGTGGGAAAGAGGAGTAGCTGCAACAGCACGCACAGTGTGCCAAACTTACAAAATCCGCCTGGTCACACCCACAGTTGGCGAAGCACAGGTGCGCTACGCCCCTGCCTCGCCCGGTCTGTGAAACTAGAGCCCAGAATGTCCAAATCCAAGTATAAAGGAATCAATTGTCCTTTCCATTTTTTACCCATGAGAGGACAGGCTGTTCTACTGGTTAGTGAATCCACCACACGGCCAGAGAGCTGAACCTCTAAACAAGACAGGTTTCTGCAAAATCGAAAAGCACAGAAAAAGTCTTCCCCCACACAACTCAGAACTTGTTTCACCTGACTGTGTCAAATCAGCTTAGACAGTGGGGTAACTCTCTCCCAGCACACTGTTGCTATGCTGCATAAAGTCTCACTCACATGGTTTGCAGCCTGTTGTTTCAGCAGGCAATTGACTTGGATGTGAAAGCCATGTTAGTGATGGTAGTGGCAGCACCCTGCCTTTGGCTCACTGCATTATCAATCTGGGTTACCCTCTGTGACCCTCATTACATTCACAAATGGTTTTGCATTTGAGTAACTGTGTGAGCGTTCATGTGTGTATTCTAGTCTCTGCAGTGGCGTAGGATTCGAGGCAAATACAGAAACATACAGCTACATTTGTCATACATCATGGAATAGATTTCCCAGCACTTACTGACAGCAACAGAGCTGTTCATCTTTGATGTTTGTCAGCATTTAACAGTGTAACAATGAAACACAGCTTCTTTGACCAAGATGTGCGCTAAGAGCTTTCACCTGCTCTCACGCAATCCATCTCTGTAAATCCCCAGACTCTCTAACTGTTGGCTGTCTAAACCTTCACCTGCAGACGGGGATGAGACCTCAGCTCTCCAACCTGCCAAACAGTCGCTATCCACTGAGCCCTGACAATGGAAAAAAAGAAAAGGATAGATCCTTAGAACTCTCCCAGAATCACACAGGCTGCTAATATTAGCAACTCCTCTTTGTTATTCATGTGCAAGGCAGCATGATCATGAAAACAAGAGGATATTTAGGCTGCGTGCCGCAGTGGGGACCACACACACACATTCACACCGTACACACACATACGCACTCACACAAACAAACATCACTCATATTTATGTAATGTAGAGTCCCTCTCTCCCCAGATGAAAGCACAGTCTGCGGAGTGCACAATTTCCCAGAATGCAAGCTGACAGACCTGACACACCTGCCCACCAGGCTGCCTATCAAGAATAACAAGATGACATGTTGAATGCCCTCAACTGAGCTGAAGGGGGCCTGTGCCATACTAAGTCACAAGCTATTGCTTGGTTTCCACACAATTGCATAAACATTGCTAAATTTAAACAAGCCTCTCTCACGCATTGTTTGTATGTTTTCCAATGAAAAGCAATGCACCAAAATTTGAAGATATCCTCACAAGCATGAGTCAAAAATTTTTATGTATAATCCACATATTTTGTAAGGCTGCGATCACGTGACCAATGCTCTGATGGGAGTAAAAAAGTGGTCCCCGTGGAATGGTCACAAAACACGGGATTTTCCTCCTGAAATTTCTCCAGGAGACTTCCA